CAACGCTTCTTTCATATGCAAAGCCCTGATTTTTTCCTGGAGGGCTTTTTGAAGCTTATCAAGCGATATGACAAATGTGTCAATGTACTTGGTACCTATATGGAAAAATAAAGGTATGTCATATCTTTAATGTCTCATTCTATTTTTGACTTTCATACACAACTCTGACCACAGTCGACAGGAGAAACTTATTTTTCAACTTACCCTCGTATGTACTATTTATGTTTAGTACATAATGCACTATTTATACATATGTATAATACATAATGTACTATTTATACATATGTACATAATGTACTATGTTAGTACATAAATGTACTATTTATGTTTAGTACATAATTTTGAAAGAAAGCGGGAGACCGTTTTTGTAACAAGTTTCTGCTTTAAAAAACCACGCTGCATCGATGATAAATAAAATCATTATAAAAATTTTATATTTATTTTCAGATTTATTTATTATTTTAGACTACTTTGAACTGCGTAAGTTACACCATTTTTTTTTTCATTTACAAATAAAAGATGAACGAAAAGTGTTGTTAAAACATTTGAAACAACAACCTAACTTATCGTTTTAAATTTGCAACACGTCTTCTCATAAAAAAAAAAAAAAAAAAAGAATAGCCACTTGAAAACCCAATAAAAGGAAGTAACTGGATTAAGCTTTCAGTGGATGCCTCGAGCTACCGTTCTAAACTTTCATCGCTTTGCTTAGAACTATCAACGCTAATTTAAAAATAATATAGAAATAAATGAGGAAAAATCGGAGCGTTGACTAGAAGGTACCGCGCGACTGACCCGGATGCGACAGGCGGCTTCATTCTTCTGTGTGTCGGAATATGGGTTAAGAGCAGATGATTTTCAAGTTTCGTTTCTTTCGATCTCGGTCATGAGAAGATTTTTAATTCATGAATTTCTTCTCATGGCCTTCTTCTTGAGCGTGCTAAGTCTGCATATGCGTGTGGTTTTTTATTATACCATATTCCTACTTAGGTTTACCGTCGTAACACTTTATGTAGTTCAAGGCTCAAGTTCACAGGGTTCAGACAGGAAAAATGTTCTTTCTCTTATATAGCTTTATATAAAATAATCTAAAACCACTGTAAAATTTTATTACAGTCAAATTTCTTTTTTGTAAATAATATTAGGTTTCACTCTATTTGCACTAGTCTAAACCTGGATAATTTTATTAGAATTTATCTTGTAGGATTTTAACTTCAAATCCTGCAACATAAACTAACAATAATAAACGAGTAATAGCAACTAATTTGTTTTAAATTGGACAAAGTTACTTTCCTCAATCAATTAGGAAATTATATGTTTAATTAAAATTACCCTTACAGAAGTAATTGGCAATAGAGCCTCAAAAGGTTGGACTTCTACATTTCCACCTCAGTTTTGTAGGATAGCACCGTCGGGGTTGTCCACCTTTCTCCTACCACCAAACCACACGAGAGGACTTTCGGTTCGCCATATATTTAGAGTGTCTCCATGCCTCAAAGACACTATGCATTTATAAACAGCCATTCCTTATCCGGAATTCGAACCCGGACCCTCCGGGACCGAGTAGGCTCCTAACAACTATACCGTCAAGGCGGTTGCAGATAAAGTATTATTTATTGATGTTTATATGTAATAATTTTCTACACGGTAATCGTACTGCGCTATACCACTTAATATATATACATACCCGCTCCTACGAACCTACTACAGAAAAATATATTCATTATTTCTATCCTTTATTGGTATTCTGATTTGAAGAACATTTTTGTTTTTTAAAGTCAGGAAAGCTTTTACTTTTCAAATAAGAACTGCTTCACAAACTAAACAATTTAAAAACAACAATGATCTTAATGATGATAGTATGTGAAATGATAGTATTTAGAATTCTTTCTTTGCACCTTAACAGCGTGTTTAATTGATATAATTTAAAATACATTTAATTTAAATAGTTGATAGGATTCAGTCGAATTATGGCAAAGCTCTGGAGGGCTCTTTTTAAGATTAGAAATGCCCTTACGGATCTTTTCAAGGGACATTGACTCGTATCTACGTTACCTATGGAAAAAAACCCACAGAAACTCTGACTCAAACCAGCCTAGATTTGAACCCGGTCGAAGAATAACTACTAGTATTCAGCATTTGGCTCTTAGGTGCTGATGAACTATACGCAAGTTTTAGCTACAAATATTTCTAGTATTATTGTGATTAATCGTTAACTTCCGATTTTTTACTTTCTTGTACAAAGTAAAGAAATTTGCAATCGCGAAAAATTTCGGGTATCATATTTAAAAAAGAATATTCATTTTGACCATTTCCGAATTCATATGGACCATTCTTTGCGTGATATCTGTACGCACAGACAAAATAAAGAACTGTTTTTCCCAAAACGAATTGTGAAACGGATATACAATGAATCCAGAAGGGATGTTTGTTCATGATGTCTGTGTGTATGTATGTATGTATGTCTATATCACGCGTAACTCAATAACGATTAGCAGCAGAATGTTAAAATTTTGAGAATAGTGTATCTAGTTGTGTACCCATAGTGTGTATCTACTGTGTGATTGTAAACATGTCTGCAGAAAGTATAAAGAACAAGATTGTTGAAATTCAAATTATACTTAAAACGAAGTCGATTCACTCATGTTCGAATTCATTACAAAACCATGCCCGAAGACCCCCTCATACAACGTACGGATCGATATCATACAACGTACGGACCAATTACGTATACATAATTTGCATTTTCACTGAGCAATTGTATGAATGTTCATGCGTTTTAGTCTTCAAGTTTAAATGCTTATCTTGCATTTTTACTAAGCAAATGTCGTTAGAAGTTGATGATTTGATTGATTGTTTAAGTATTTTAGCCTCCAGTTACAAAGATTTCGTGTGCAGTTTTACCAATCAAATGTACTCTTATTATTTGTGTGAGTGTTCAAGGTTTCTAGTCTTCAGGTTTTAGATTTAATCTTTCTTTGTTGGGGCCTTACTTGATCTGGAGATGCTAAGGAGTTCAAAAACCACTAACAAACACGAAGTTAATAACTCCTACGTCTGAAGGGACTAGAAGATCGTGAAAAGGTTTTAATAACCATTTTATTTAAACAGAAACTAAAATATAAATGCGCTTTCTTGTGTTAACAGTATCAGCCATAGCTCGTGGTGAGTTTAGACTACATATGGTGATGTACTAAATCAGAACAGTCAAATCTAAGTTAAACGTGGAACTGTAGACAAAGACTACACAATTAAACTTTAATCTAAGTTATCTCAGTAATTCTAACTGGAGCATCAAAATCAAGGTGTCTGGAACGATATAACACAAAACCGAATAACTACAACTATCAGAGCTGGTAGGAACTAAACGTAGCAAGACAGAAACGGGCTCTGTCTTAAAATCCAAAAGATTCAGTTTAAATATTGGCTATCTCGTGTGAGGAATGCGGAAAGCAGAAGTTAAAGTACAGATCCAAATCATAATAACTAGTTAGTTTTAAATAATAATAGTATACCTTTATTAAATTCGAATTCGTAGTTCGAATTTTATCATTTTAAGTGAGTATTAAGAGTTTCAAGAGTGGCAACTGCATCTTTACTGCATAACTATATATCGAGAGCCATCATTTGAATGAGATTTCAAGTATTTTAATCTCCATGTTTCTGAATTGTAGAGAGTATTTTGAACTAGAAGCTTTAGACTTTCTTCCTCTTTTTTCCTAAGATATCTTCAGCGCCAATTATATTGGACGTATTCTTTCCAAAACTTAAGAAATATATTACATACGAGTTCTTACTAGATTGAATGCACACACACAGGTCCGATAATAGGTTAATAAAATTTATCTTTATTAAATGAAACATTTCAAAGTTCTGGAATTTTTCACAGAAATATTCGTACAGGTTTTCACAGTATCACAGAGCACAATCAGTAGTTACACTTTAAACTACTAAGAACATTAAGGACAGCGCATTGTAAAGCGCATCTAATGAGAAAGCTAATCCGGAGATATCTCAGTTCACGCTGAACTAACAACTCGCAACAGCAATAACAAAACTGAGAGTATATGCTTTCTCCAGGTTTATATAGTTTTTGCCAGGCCGCCGAGATATTTCTAGTACTTTCTGCTTCTCTAAATTATTGGAAAGCAATATGAGGATCGAATTACGACTTCAGCTAATATAGTGACCAATTACATTTATTAAATAGAATGCTTATTACCGTAATACAGGGACCGGACCCAAATGTCGCCAAATGATCGCCAAATTTGACGATGTTTGGTGATTTCCAGCCAAATTTATCGACAAAAATTAGTCGCCAAAACCGTTGTCAGCTTGGTAATATCTCGCCAAATTACGAGATACCCATTTGCTTAATGTCAATTGCAGAATTCTTACTTTTTGGCATAGTTTGTCTCTTTTAGATTTTTCTTATAATACATTGCTCAGAAACATACAACAATTTCACATATAACTGCACTAAAATTATCTATCTATGTACAAAATTCGTAACAATATATTCCCTACCTTTAAGAGTATCGAAAAATTCGTTCAAGATGTAAAGCACGAACTGTTAATTTGATGAACTTACAACAGACGATGCGCTTTTATTTATTTATTTTTTGCTTCATCATTTCAAACAAATTTTAAAAGTAAACATATTAAATATGTGCCTAATAAAACACTGCAAAAGTAAGTAATTTTGAATACATTTCAGCGTAATAGATAATAGTTCATATACGATGAATTTCAGTAGCTTTCGCTCATTGTCTGCTTCAACAGCTGACAACAGTTAAATGAAATATTTACTTTGAAAAACACCAGCTACATAACCACAACACTTCTGCTGGCTATGAGAATTGAAAAATAATTCATTCATAAGGTAATAAGATAAGATTTTTAAAGCTATAACAAGAAAAGCTTAGTAATAGATACATGAAATACAAATGTTAATCAGTGAAACACTAACTGAACATTTTCATCAACTGTGTTTTACTTACCATCATAGTACCGCCTGTCGGAGCGCCTTGTGATATTTTGGTGATGATGGGGTTGCGGAAAGATTGGAGGAATAACAAGCAGTAGGAGAAGGCCGCCCACCGAGACCAACACCGTCAGTGGCATTGTGATGCTGTAGCCTGGGCATGGGGACTCGTAGGGCTGTAAAAGATAAACATACCATTTAAATTGAGTTCCACAAGTGCTGTATCTCACAATGCTCCCAAGCATAAGAAAATATCACATCCTCCTATAATTTAAACATACCAAACTCACTTCGAACAAATACTCCCCACTGAAACCAAAAAAATTTCTTTCTTAAAAAGGATCCGCGGTAGTTAAGAACACAGGGTATTTAGTGATAAGAAAATTACATTTTTATTTTATATCTGTCTTAGTTGCTTTAACAACGGATTAGTTCATGCAGGAATTGATACTGATAGGAATTTTATTATCCAGCATTTAAAACTTACTGTTAGTATGGGTAAAATCTTTGGTAACCTACAGAAACAAGACATGTAACATTTCTGATATACATGCAAATTAACTTATTCATGACCTGTGTATGAGAACATTCACTTATATTTATCGCATAAGCTCGTTATTTAATTCTTAGCTAACTCACATATATTATCATTTATAAGTGGAATGTGCACTTACAATTCAAATGTAAATGTACAAACTTTGCATATTAGTCTTTACAGTACTTAAGACAATCAAAGGAAGTTAATATTTCAGGATGCTTTTGTGGAACACTTTTCAAGATGTATGCAAAAGAAAAACAATATTGCCTTCCGGCAAATTAAATCCGGCATCTTTGAAACTGATAGTAGTTAAAAGATATGTGGGACACATACGTTGATCGCTGTTGCTGTACCTGGGACAATCTTGTAAGACACTTTTAAGGTAAAACGACAAGATGGCTCTGATTTTAGTGCGGTGTTTCGTTTCAGGATAAGTTTCAAACTCTTTAAATATTCTTGGCTTTTGTAATTATTTGATATAAAGATTCTTAGCACTGCTCCATGTAGTTATGAACATGTTTTATAGATCTGAAGTACATTTAATAACCGAATAAACGTGCTTTTTAAAAATAATGCTTTAAAATACTTGCTCGTATACCTACGAAAAGAATGGTCAGCGAAAGAATAGTTCTATCCCAGCTGCATTGCGGCCGTAGAAAAATGGAAAGTTGTATCCTATTTAAATGAGATACAGATTTTAAACTGATGACTTTGAGAAACAAGGTAGAACAAAAAAAAAAAAAAAAAAAAAAAAAAAAAAAGGGAGGGGACAATTATATTTTATAAGAAAACATTTTGATGAGAGAGAGAGAGTAATATGATAACAGATTATTCAATGGAATATTGTATTTATTATATTGTAACATGTATAAATTTAAACAGTCTACGAAATATAAAAGGAAAATTCAGCAAATTGAGCAGACATTTTCCTCGTTTTCAGAGAGTCATATCTCTTTCGAATAATTAAATTAGTAACTGAACTCTAATGAAGAAAGGCAACAATAGAGAGTTTATTTCGGTAATACACTATATAGTCCACTCTCTCGTGGTGACCATCTCTAAATACGATAAGATTTCTCAGAGCGTAAATAAAATAGCATTTTTGATCATTATCAACACTTATACCCCCTGAAGTGCCCGAACACGATCCAAATAATTTAAGAATCACGGCGTTTTGGGGCGTTTCCACTGTTCTAAGTACAAAAAAATATAAAAATTAAGTGTTAATTGTTTAAAACAACAATAACATATTATACTCCAAATAGGATAATTTATATCGCTCACCTAAACTATGCTTTCCTAGATTGACATCGGATGGATCTAGCAATTTTACTTAAAAAAAATGTTCTAATTGTTGTCCAAGTCGTTACATTCGATTCGATTTTCCTGCGTTGATTTTTGTTCATAGATTAAGAATATTTTTTAATTATTGTTAATTGGTAGGATATTTTTTCTTTGCTGACGATTTCACGGGTGTTGGTTTTTAAAATGTAATTAGTCTGTTTGGTAGTCATTAAAAAGACAGTTATTATGGATGCTATAATTTATATCTGTCGTAGAAATATCTCATTATCCAGACGTTAGTATGCATCAGTGAAGCATTATTATCTGCATGTTTGAAATACATAATTTCTTTTAAATCTTACCTCACTTTAAAAGCTATTATTGACAATCAAAGAGATATCATCAATATTAAAAAAAGATGACATGTATTTTTATTTAATAATATGTAGAAAGCTCAATTTGGAATAGTATTCGTAAAGAAATATATTTTCCCAAATGGCTTTCCTAAAGCAAGATTCTTTCTTTCATACTATTTAGCGCCGAATAAAAAACTTTCTTATTCAGACTAATAATTCTAACAAAATTTAGTAAAAATACTAAAATTTTCAGTTATCTATCCTTTATTAGAAGAACACTTACCTAAATATATAAGTTAATTGTATCATACATATTGTTAGGGCATATTCAAGCAATATAAATACCGGAGATTACCTTCCACACGATTTGTAAACACATATATAAATATTATTATTTCTACTATAACATATATAAATGTTATAGTAGAAATAATAATAAAGCTTTATGCGTATGCCCTGTTTTTAGCAAATGATACCATTTTTAGAACATGAAAACAGTGACGGAAAAAATATTACGATATTTAGTTATAATTAGATACATCAAGTCTTGAAAATTTTGGCATTGACAAAGTTTTAGAATATTCTGAAATAAGCACTCTGATCATAGATGTAGTGAGAGATGATGTAAAAAGTAGAGACATTACGTATTTCTGATGCTGGAAGACGTGAAAAAGGCAACACTTACTTTCAAAGCTTGTAGAGACATTAGGCATTTTTTTTAAAGCAGGAGCGATGAAAAAAGAGCAATGCCCTCGCCGGGACTCGAACCTCGGACCTCTCGAATATGCGCCGAGTGTGCTGACCATTACACCACGAAGGCATGCTAAGAATGCGAGAGAACTACCTTATATACTTCTCCTTTTGAAGGACGACGGGGGATTAGAGGTCCCAATCGCCAAATTCTCGTGGTGGAGAACCGTCATCCACCACCCCTTTTAGTTCGGGCGCCACTGTAGAGACATTAAGTTAGTCTGAAGCAGGGCACATGAAAAATGAGCAATGCCCTCGCCGGGGCTCGGACCTCTCGAATACGTGCCGAGTGCGCTACTATTACATTGCGAAGGCATGCTAAGAAGGCGGGAGAAATACCTTATAAAGATCAATTAAATAGCACAAACCATCTTTATTGTGTTTGCTGAAATTTGCAAGTACAGTTCTTAAATATATTGGTATTTTTGCTTGTAAGCGTCTACGGACAGTTTTAAGACTTCTCCGATTTATGCGTCTTTACTATATAATGCTCACAAACAAAACATGATTCTACAGGTATATGAAAATTTTCTTATGGTAACTCCCAGAAAAATTGTAATATTCAGACTTTTGCAATTCAAGGATATTTTGTAAAAGTTTTGATCAAATAAACTAAAATTCTTTCTGCAGATTAGAATTAATGTTTTGAAAGATACGTCGTAGAGTCATTAGGTTATATCGAAGCCACTGAAACTGAAGATATCGGCAAAACTCTGAGCGAGATTCGAACTCTGGTTCTCCCGAATATGCGTAAAACTTGCCATCAGTTATATCACGACGGCATGCGAAAAGAGGAGATAATACCTTATATACTTCCCCTTTTAATGGCGACTGGAGATTAGGGGACCCAGTCGCCAAATCCTGGTGGCGACGAATTATCGTCCACCACCTTTTGAGTAAGAAAGCCACTGTAGAATTATTTAGAATTTTTCGAAATCAGGAAGCTGAAGAATCCCGGCACCGTGTTCTTGCCGGGATTCGAATTCTAAACCTCAAGAATACGCGTCGAGTGTGCTTCTTGTTACACCAAAGACATGCAGCAAGGAGAGAGAAAATACCTTAAAATAAACTATACGTAATATCTTTTCTACATATTAATAATGTTATCCTTCTGTTTTTTCAGATAAATTTTCAACTTTTTTAAAATCCATTTAATCATAATTTTAAAAAAAGTGAAGAGAAATATTTTGGAAACTAGAATTTAAGTATTAGGAAGTGAAAATAGTTTCGCTTTACCAAAGCAATAAGTTAAGTCTGATTAGGAACAGAAATCAATGGTTAATCTTACGATGAATACAAAATTAAGTATACGGCGAATTTCACAATTGATTCGCTAGATAGGGAAATAGTGGATTTGATAAATTCTGGAATATTTCAACTTGCAAAGTGTCCTTTAATAACTCGACTTAAGATTATTTTATAAAATATACTTGTAATATTAAAATATTTTAGTGATTTATCGTAACGAAATATATTTGTTTACTTGTAAAAGTACTTGCGTGACGTATATGTCATACATAAGAATAAAAGAAAACTACACACACAGCACACTGATAACATACAATGAGTTACAAAAAAAGAGTTTTGATTATCTATGAAATCTCTTCCAGCATTCTCTAAAATAAAAGATTTAAGAATTTTTATGACTATGGACGAAATACTATACTGGCATATATTAGTTGTATAATAATGATCACTTCCGATGTCAAGGAATCTCACACCTTAAGAATTTCAAACTTTGTGTATGAGCAGTAATACATGATTCATATTAATGCAAAAATATATTGTCCATCGAAAATTCTGCCTCTTACCCCTAGAATAAGATTTTGGAACAAAAACTACAGAAACTTCGGATTTAGAAATTTGAAAATTTGCAATGAAATTAGATCTAATTTGAGAAATTCCAAAATTTGCAAGGGATTCATAATTCACACTGGTATCTCAAAATTGGCCATAAAGATATCTCTTCTGTGAATTTTTTTGTAAAATGAGTGTCAAAATCATGTCTATGAAATTTTAATTTTAATTCTAATGCGTTCCGGCCTTGAGCATTTTATTCTCATTCTTTAATAGCGTTATATTCCCACAAGGTCCAGGAGTCTGAAAATTTTTGCGGCTGGCGTGATCTATACGGGCATCACGTACTTACTACCCATGAAATAATTGATTGCATCAAATGTGAAGAACCGAAATGTTTTCACTAAAAAAAATCATTATTCCTGCGAATTTGGAACTATCATCAAATTTT